CTGCATGGCGGGATCCCAGTCCTTGCTGTGGCCCTCGTTGCAGCTGTAGATAGTCTTACCGCCGTCCTCTGGGAACTTCACGTGCGCCTCACAAAAGGATGAGGGAAGAAAGGGGAGACGAGGGGGAGGAGGAGGAGGAGGAGGAGGAGGAGGAGGAGGAGGAGGAGGAGGAGGAGGAGGAGGAGGAAGGGGAGGAGGAGGAGGAGGAGGAGGAGGAGGAGGAGGAGGAGGAGGAGGAGGAGGAGAAGGAAGAGCAGGAGGAGGAAGCATCCTCTCGCAGGAGAGACAAACGGAAAACGCGATGCGAGGGATGGTTCGCAATGATGGGCGAGGAAGAAGGCGGGGGGCAAGCAACAGCAGGGGCAGCGATCGCGAGTGACGGGCCAAGAGAGGAGGACTGGGTGATTTGCAAATCCTTTTCTTGAAGCGCAGGGCGCTCCACCTGTGGGACACCAGCGTGGGCCATCTCTGACGGAGACGGGGGGCGCCGAGCCCGAGGAGAACGCGCCCCACCTAGCACAGCGGCAGGGGTGGCAGAATGGCGGGGGAGATGGGAGATGCCAGGCGGGAGAAAGGGCGCGAGCGATGGCACTCGTGGTGACGAGGCGAGAACAATGCCTCGAAGCGGCGATCTGACACGACTCGAAGGAACACTGGGGGCGAGGGAGGTGCGGAATTGACCGGGGCGATAGCGGGCTCGAGGTGCAAGATAGGGAGGCAGGAGGGGGGCGCAACAGCGACACAAGCAACATCAGGGAACGACGGGCGGAAAGGGGACGGGGCGCGCATCTGAGATCGACCTGCGCGCGGCGCGGATGCAAAGGCGAGGCCCCGCCCGAAGGGCCGCGGGGGGACGGGGGGGGAAGGGGGGCAGCGAGGAGGGGCGCAGAGAGGGGGCAAGGACAGAGGGGCGCTCGCGCGTCTTGCCCTCGCGGAGAAGGTCCACGCAGACGCTCCGCAGGATAGCGCAGGCGGAGCAGAGCAGCAATCTCGCGGCGGCGGCAAGGAGATGGAACGAGACGAGGCCGCCGCGCAGGATCCACGCGCAGACGGAAAAAGGGGCCGCGTCATCGTCGGCGTGGGCGTCGCGGGCGAAGACAAGGCAATGGATCCACTGAGCGTCGCAGGACATGGCAGGGGGGCCGAACGACCGGCGGCAGTTGGCGTTGGCGCGGCGTCGTCATGCACCGAGCTTTCGCCAAACTTCGACCCGACAGGTGGCGACGCTTAGCCCGAACGCGACGACGGGACTTGCGATCCAACGCCAAGTAGGCCAGAGGAGGCCACGCTTGCCTCCGTCGCATGGCGACGGTTAGCCGCTGGAGCGGCGCTTCAATGGCGCCCGCGTGGACCCCGTCAGTTCAATAGCGAACGCATTCTGCGCGTCGAAGAAGAACTCGCGCCCCGTCGACCATCGGGGGGTCAGCCGCGCGCGACGGCGCGTCGATGAAGCGCTTGGCGAGCGGGTCGCTCTGCCGCCAGACGGCCCCCACGCGGCCCCGAGCAACCGGCGGCGCTGCCTCTTCCGCCGTCGGGCGGGCCGCGAGAAGAAAATCACGCGCTTCGCGAGCTGCTCTCTTGAACGCGCCCAGCGCGCCGCCTCGATTCGCCCTCGCCGTCGGCGACCGCCCCCTCAATCCTTTTCTTGAAGAGAGGGTCCGTGAAGATGCGCACGTGAATGGGGCGCCCCCCTTTCGGTTTCGCAATGCTCTGCCTGATGGTCGCGACCGCGGCTAAGTGATCAGAGATGAACGCGCGGGACAACACCCCAGGTTCACATGCTGTCGCGGACCCCGCGCGCGCCCGGCACAACTTCCACCCAGAAACAGAACATGGGAAACAGTCCAAGCAGCTCGCCGAACTCGCGCGCCTGGCGCAATGCGTCGGGGACTGAGACGCGGCCCCCAGCAGAGCGTCGAGAGAGCCTGGCCAGCGGGCAGCGCGCGCACGATGGATGGGAGGGTCAGAGGCATGAGAGACGAGAGTGCGATGGAGGATGAGAGCTTCATCGGGGTCGAAATTCAGGCCACCCTGGACAATCACCAACGTGTAAAGAAGATCAGCCGCGGCACGCACTCGGGTCATATCGATCTGCTCGCAGACTGTGTTCACCTGCCCCCTAGTGAGCCCGTGGTTGTGGATATTGAAGCGAGTCAGCTGGAATCCCTGCTTGTAGACATCTACTTGCAGGGCCCCCCCCTGGATGATGACTGCAGCGCAGCTGGATGCGGCCCCGTCGCGAGACAGGCGGGGCAACGCCGCGGCGGCGCCTCCGGCGCCCGACCCCCCTTGATCAGCCGCGCAAAATGAAGCGCGAACCACTGCGCGAGGGGGGGCTTCGAGAACGAAGTCCTCGAGCTAGATGCGATCAGCGTGAACCTCCTGCATAGCGAGAAACGCGGCCAGGAGGCGGATCTGCTTCAGGTAGCGGAGTTCGGGCAACGCCTCGGCACATTTGCGCTGCAGCAGGGCCCTGGCATTCCACGCAGCAAGGCGCATCGAAGCCGAATCCCCCGCAGTGCTCGGAAGAAAAAACAATTTGAGCAAGCCGTCAAAAAGACCGCTACGCAGGAGGCGGAAGGGGGGGGGATGGAGCTCTGGGCGGCGACGTTGAGCTCCCGGCGGGATAGACGGAGCTCGCGGAGGCCGTCCTCATTGAACTCGATGACGACAGGCTCATCATTGGGACGAGCATTGAGACGGAACGTAAAACCAGCCCTGCTTGAGGATGCCGCGCCCCCTGTCCACGGACCACCCGCCATCGTACTTCTCAGCCAACGCCGCGCGAAGCTTGCGCAGCGCTCCGTCTTGACCTGCTTGAGGTTCTTGTCTGGGCCGAAGTGGATCCGAGCGGGGGTGGAGCCAGTGACGGGTGCCTGGGAGACGCGCCACTGATCGTTGCGCCGGAGGTTGGACAGCACTTTGCTGGCCTTGCGGGAGGCCAGCCCAACGGCTCCAGAGAAGGAGAGCAGGAAGCGACGAGCGGGAAGAGGACCAACGGCCTTGGTGGAATATTCCGAGGAGTCAAAGCGGAGCTCGGAGAGGAATGGAGACATGCTATGCTGACCCTATGGAAGGCCGCACATTTAGGACGCCATGCTGACAGCCCGTGTTGGATTTTCAACACGGTCGAAAAATGGCGGGGGGGGCCTCGGGCTTCTCGGAACTCTTGGCGATGTGGAGTTCCTTGCGCCACTCACCCATCAGCTTGAGAAGGATCGCGACGTCTGCCGCGTGACGCCCACCGCCACCCACGACCTGATCAAGCTGGGAGGACAACTTATCAAGCTGAGACTGGAGACTCTTGTGGAAAGAATCAATGTGTGGGCGCATGATACGCATGGTCTGCTGGACCGTTTCTTTTACCTGGTCTTCGATCTGCTGCTTGAGGAGGGAGAGCGACTGGAGAACAGCCTGATTCGAGGATTTGGTCGACTCCCCGACCGTAGCGCCGACCATGGACTCGAGCTCGGCACGCAACTCACCAAACTGGGTAGCAACTGCGCAGGCGGCGACACACTTGATGTACTCATCAGGGTAGGTGGGATGGGGCGGGGCGGATGGAGCGTGCCACTCACCATGTGAAGGGCCAGAATCACCGTCGCAACGAGCGCCACCTTCATCGATCGCGCGAGGGAGAGTGGGCGCCAGCACGCCCATTACCTTTGCCATCGTCCTTCTTCGTCCACTTGGACTCGGGGAAGCCAGGACCCTGGTGAGTTCCTGGCGTGGCCGTGCCCATCTCATCGTCGGGAACGGTAGCAGCATCGTCAATCTCCCTCGGGAGCCGCGCGAGGTCAGCGCCAGAATCTGGGATGCCCATCGCAGTGGCACTTGACAGAAGAAAAACGTCGGATGTGCCAGCAGGGTGGACCAGAGGCGGTTCGAAAGTCTGGCACGCGTGGAAGGAGAAACCTGTAAGGCAGGGGGCCTTGGCCCAAACCTCACGGGTACGACCAAGCTCGAGCCGCCGAGGCTTCGCGGTTTGAATTTCAACCGAACTCGCTACGGCGGAGGAGGAGGAGGACGCTTTTGTTATACATATATATATATATATCCCTCTTGCTTTCTCTCTCTCTCTCTGTCTCTCTCTCTCTATCTCTCTCTCTCTCTCTCTCTCTCTCTCTCTCTCTTTCTATATATATATATACACATAGATCGATGTGTTTGTTTCGTCTCTCTCTCTCTTATTCTCTCTCTCTCTCTCTTTCTCTCTTTCTCTCTCTCTCTCTCTCTCTCTTTCACCCCCGTCCAGGCAGTACGCACCTCCCCTGCGCTGCGCAGAGAAAGCAGCCCTTGGACCGGGGAGAAAGCCCGGCGTCTCTCTCCAACCCCCGTATCGTGGCACAGGGAATGGTGGGGGGGGGAGCAGGGGGGAGGAGGCCTGACGGATTCAAGCGTCTAGGCACGAGTCCCAACATCAGGTCGGCTGCATGAGAGTATCATCTTCAAGTTCGATGCGGTCAGGAGCGTTTGCTCAGCGTGTCGCGGCGGCGGCCCAGGCAACACGCCATGCTTCGGATAGCGCGCCGCTACGCTTCGCAGGGCGGGAGGCTGGGAAAGGCTCGGGACGTTTACGTTTGGGAATGGAATTGGAAAGTGGTTACCGTGTCGCGCCGAAGCGTGGTGGCCCAGATCCGGCGGCGCGACAAGCTAAGCAAGCGTTCCTGACCGCATTCTATGCCATGGGGCTGTGTGGTGAGGGTTCCTGCCGCGCACTCCCAATTAGTCTACGGTCCGTCGGGCCGGGTCGGCCTGGCCGATATGATGTTACAGGCAAGAGCCAAGGCATTCCTCAATTGCCCGCCACGGTGATGGTAGCTGGCCGCTCCGTGATCGGCATTGTCGCCTCCCCACCCTGTGGAGGGGAGGCGACCTACTGTGTGAGGTCGCCTGCGGCAAATATTTTCAGATGGGTCTCGCGATGTCTTCTCTTGGACAACATGTGGCTGTTCATGCGGCATGCGGCATGGAACCGCCAAGCAATACATGCAGACCTCTCCCCGCCTGACCAAGGCGAAATACAACCCAGGGGGAGCCGCTGGGCAATACATGCAGACCTCGACCGCCCGATTCGGCGGCCTCGG